TTCAACCTTCAGCACACAGACAAAACAAAACAAACCCACCCAGCTTCAGTGGCTCACACCTTTTATTTCCAGCACTTGGAAGGCTGAGGCAGGAAAACAACCAGAAGTCTGAGACCAGTCTGGGCTACAGAGTAAAACTGTGTCTCAAACACACAAATCATGCAAGCACATGCTATCTCTTGAGAATGGAAGAGGAAATGAACCCTCCTACACCATTACACCCACAGGCTTTCTCATCACCCACCTTCTTGGCTCTCTCTGCTTTGTCCCTTTCAATTTTTTCTCGGACCCTTTGTCTGGAATGCAGACAGGAAGAAAAGAGGTCAGAGATGGACAAGGGAAAAGATTTCCTTCTCAACGACCAACAACCGTCAACACCCAGACCTGGCAGCTAATTCTTCAGCCTTTTCTCTCCTGCGCTCCTCAGCAGCACGGCGCATCTCGTCTTCCTGTAGTTTCTGCCTTACGGCTGACAGCTCTTGCCCTTGTCTCCTCCGCTGCTTTTCTCGTTCCAAAGCTTCTCGCTCCTCTCTTTCTTCACGTTCCCGCTGCTTCTGGGCCACAAGCTCCAACATTCTGTTTTACAGAGAAGAAAGAGCTCAAATTGGATATGGAGTGGGAAGTTGAGTTTAAACAGAGAAATCTTAACAAAATAAGGGAACATGTGTTCCAAGACAGATGAAAGGAAACAAAACCAAAACAGGAATAAAAATAAGGGGGGGGGGGCTAGGAGCTTAGCTCAGTGGTGAAGCACATACTTGGCACGCAGTGCCTTATAGTTAAAAAGGCGGGGAGGGGCAAACGAGAGCTAGATATAGTGGTGCACACCTATAATGCCAGCACTGCAAGGCAGAGGCAAGAGAATCAGCATTTCAAGGTAATCTGAAGTCACACAGGGAGTTTGAGACCAGCCTAAGCTACATCAGACTGTTTATGTTTCTTGGTGGCTGTCTTTTGTTAGTTCGGTTTTTTTTTTTCCAGAACCTGGAACGGTCGGGTTCTCTGATCAGACTTGTGTTTGCATTGGAGAGGAAGGAAGA